TAAGGAAGCAGTAGAGCACTGGGGAGATGTTCCAAGTGCCCGATGAAGGGGCCTGGGAATAAGGAACCAGTGAAACAGCACGTTCCTCTCTGCATGTAGCCAAAGGTTTGAGGTAAAGAGCTTATTAACACATGCTCAGTAGGAATTGCTAGGTCTAGGATCAATGCACTGGTAGCAATCTTACATTTTCCCAGTTGTGCATAAATTGAGTTGGAAGCAGGTTTTTCACGTTTGGATTCCTTCACCCCCTCCAGTTTTTATTTTTTTTATATCTGTTTCTCTAGTAGATTTAGTCCTCTTATACAGTCTACTATAAGTTGTCTGTTAAAAATCCAAAATAGTTCATGAAAGCATGGAGGAAGTTTGGATGGTGTGATTAAATGCCTGGATGGGAATGTGATTCAGAGATTTGTTTGAAAAACAAAATAAGAGTATATCAAGACATTTGGGGGGAGATTTTGGAGTAGAAAAAAGAATCATGAGAGGAAGTTGAGAAGACAGATGTTATGCATCTTTTTACAGTTTTCCGTGAATAATTTGTTTGACAACTGTTTTGGTAGTGTCAGCACTATAGTTCATCAGATATTTTCTGACAAATATACTGACAAATCTGCGAAGTAAAATGTCCAGCAAATTCACTGCCCTGCATCTATGCAGGTGAATGTCACCTAGTACCTTACTATAAAGTGATCACTGAGTAAGAAGGGAAAGGCAATTGGCGATTTAAGAAAATGGCAATGACATCTGTTACTTGCAGCTCTGAGGGTAATGCTATGGGAGATTTTAGAGTTGTCTGAATGTGGTTGGGTCACTGCTTTTGAAAGTAATTGGATTCACATTCATCAAAAGTAATACATTTTGTGACATTAGGAGAGAAAAAACTTGATGGTGATTATTCATAAATAAAATGTAATCCTTTCTTTTAACTATTTCCATTGTTCTACAGCCTACTGTTTTAATAATAAGTAGAAGTAAGGGCCCAAATCTTCAGTTATAGCTAAATAGTAGGTAAATAGCAGTGCAGCTGTGTAGGGAGCAGGGTTTTTCTCTCCCCAAACTAGGTGGCCACACTCATCCTCTTAGCATAGCTGTTTTAGCTTATGTTGATTGCTAGGGACCACAAAGGCTGGAGATGTCAACTGGAAAAAAAAATGGGGCATAAAAGAAGCCCCGACCATCTTCCCATTTCCACACTCTATGCTGGCAGCAAGGAAGAGGCATAGTATTAACAGGTGCTGGCTCTTTCTGCTCTGGGGTGAACGTCTTGTGGCTGGATATGTTGTTGGATGCATAGTGTGCCATCAGTATAGGACAAAACATCTGTTTCCCACTGTACTGGAGGACTGGGTCAGGGATAGTTGATTAGTCACTGGGAACAGTAGACAGCTAGACAGTATTTAACATTATTTGTTTTGAGAAGCGGTCTCCGCTTACTGGCTGAGTTGGCATGGAAACTGAATTACCACTCATGCTTTTTAAAAGGAGAGTCCATTCAGATAGAGGTTAGTCATCAGCTGGCAAACTAAAAAGACTTGCAGTGCAGCTGTTAACACTTACACCTTGTCTGTGAATAAACAAAATACTTGAGATGCTTGCACTGACAGTCACTGTCGCTTCTATGAGAATCAGAGCTCATTCACAGAAAATTACACTCCAGGTATTTTTTGGGAAAAGTGTCATTTCATAATCTGACATTGAAACCGGGATTCTCTGATTTCTAGAAGCTTCCTTATTTTTTATAGCTCAGTTGAATATGAAGAATAATGTAGTTTGTATAATCAAAACACAAAGTGCTTATGTTATGTTTGATAATGTTGATTTATTTAAGAGGCTGTAAGCTTAGTCCTGATTTCAATGGGGGCTTTGTGAATATATAGCCAAGATGGAATCCTGTGGTGCATGCAGGAAAACTACAGCTAAGCAGAAGTGGCATTTGCAGTGACCTTTCTTTGGATGAAAACATTCAAGGAGTTTACTTGCATCTTTTTTCTGGGTAGCAAATTGGACTAGAGATTCTGCTGCTGGTTTCCATTCCTAAACCAGCTAAACCAGCTCAGAGAATATTGATGGTAAAAGAGCTGTTCACTGGCATTTTATAAAATGCCTAATGGCATCCCATAATCACACAGAATGAGAAATGTGTATTTAAATTTGAAAAAAGACTTGATTTCATCCCAGACCTTTGACTTTAGGCTTCTTTCTTTCCTCAGAACACAGAAATAGCTTCCTTTTTGAATGAAATAGGACCACTTTACAGTGGCTTTAAGTGTATAACCTATGATGCTCCTATAAGATTGATGAGGACACTTATTTCTCTCTCTTTCGTATTAACCAAGCAGATAATCTAAGCGATGCATTAAAGAAGCTGAAGATAACAGCCACTGACAGCACAGCAGATAGCTTGGAGGGATGCTTGGATTGTCTGCTACAAGCCCTGGCTCAAAACAGTAAGTTGTATTGTTCCTTCAAATTCTGTACCATAGAATGAAATCAGTAAATGATGATGAAGGGAGTAATGTATGGCAAGACAAAAAACAAAATCTGTGAAATTGCTGGATTAACAACAGTATTAAAAAAGGAGGGGTGGGGAAAGGAAGGGCGGGGCAGCTGTCATGTAATTGTGTGAGAATTGCATAGAAATAGAGATGAAGACAGTGACAGGTGAATAGGTCCATACTGCTGACATAGTCTCACAGTTACTTTTCCAATTGAAATTTACATTTAGGGGAAAAAAGGGTAGGGTAACGTTCTTGAGGCCTATGGTATTAATTTTCAAGAACCAGAAAGTTTATGGGGAAATAGAGATGGTATCTTATAAGACTTTTCCATCTCTAGCCTTCTGATTATGGGACAGTGGCAGGAGATAGATGTGGGGGGAAGACCTAAGTATTGTTTCAGTTTCAAAAAACTTGTTAGGGCTGACCAATCTGATCAGAAGTTTTTCCTCCTTTTAAACAAAAAGGAATCTGGACATCCATGTTCGTTTATAAATAACATTACTCTGAAAAGCACATGATTAATCAGCTAGTGAAATCAGTTCTTCTCTGGAATTCTCATTCCACAAGTCTCAGGCCTTTAGCTGTGTAGGAGTAAAATATTTATGAAATTTCAAACATGAATCTAAGCTCCATTAGAGATGTTTTATGTATTATAATAGTCCCTTAATGCAGAAAAGTAGCAATGTTTCATTTTTTTTTTTTCATTTTGCTTATTTTCAAGGGAGATCTTAGTCAGGAAAATTGGGATTTTTAAATCAAAGTTATCTTAAGGAAATTAATCTTTTGTGTTAAAAACTATTCCAAAGGTATCAACAGCACTGAAATCCTTTGGACCCTTTGCTATGCAAAAGATTAGGAATAACAGGTGGGAAAAAGTGTTGGCAAAGTGGGAAAAAACAAAACACATGGAGTTAATTGCAACTGTGTACTGATGCCTGTGAGCATTTAATAGATTTATTTTGGGATCAAGCCAGCAGGAGCATTATGGTTCAGGTAGTGTATTTTGGCAACTCTGTAACATACTAGTATTTCCTTGTGGCCAAATGTCTCCAGTACTCCTTGTTCTGCCTCAGTCTAGTACAGATATGGGCAAAGTCTGACCCGTGGGACAGATTGGGCCTGTTGCAGACTCCATTTCCCAGCAGCCCATGCCCTTGTCGCTGCAGCCATTTTCCATGGAGACTCCAGCACCAACAGCATCATGACAGCACAGGGCTAGGGTTTCCATGGAAACTCACCCCAGCAGCATTGGCAGGACATGTGGTTGGGTGGGGAGCTGCTCCAAAGCTGGGATTTTGTGGTAGTGACAGCGTGGTCTGGAGCTGGGGCGGGGCTGTGATTCACTGCCTGCACCTTTGCCCTGGCTGTAGACCATGCTGTCACCACTACAAGATTCCAGCCCCATCCACAGAGCAGCTCCCCACCCAGCTGGCCACCCAGCCAGTGCTGCTGGGGCCGGTTTCCATGGAAACCTGGCCCCATGCTGTCATGGTGTCGCTGCCGCTAGGGTCTCCATGGAAGCCAGCTGTGTCAACATGGGCTGCTGGGAAATGGAGCCCAGCTATCACCCGGATCTGCCATTTTGTCCTCCCCTGGTCTAGTATGATGCTTCTTTGTTTAACAAACTTCTCTTCTTTTGGTTATACACATCTAAGATGAATGGGTTTGTGGAAGTAGGAAGCTCTTTTCAGCCAGAATGGCTGACCTGCTCGACTGGGCTTTAAACTAAGCCCGTTGGGGGATGGGTGGACTACCACCAAAGCAAGGCCCACTAGGCTACCACCGCAAAACCAGCAGGTTGGGGCACCCAAGGGAAGCCACTCCTACCCCAGCCCTGGAACGGTGTCCTCCTGGGAGGGCAAGGGAGCCTAGGGCTTTCAATGGGATGCTTACATATTCCCCAATACCAGGAGCTTGGGGAACAAACAGGAGGAACTGGCCCTCCTACTAAACAAGAATGACTACAATCTCATAGGCATAATAGAGACCTGGTGGGACTCCACCTATGACTGGGCCACAGGTATAGATGGCTATACCCTGTACAGGAGAGATTGTGCGGAAAAAAGGGGCGGGGGTGTAGCTCTCTCTGTTAAGAAAAGCTACACATTCCTGCAAGCTGACATTGGCACTCATGGAGGACGACTGGAGACCCTCTGGGTCAAAATACATGGGGAACGTGGCACAGGGCACCCAATGGTAGGAGTCTACTACAGACCTCTTAATCAGGAACAGGAGCTTGACCAGGAATTTGCCAGGGAACTAGCTGAGGCTTCACGCTCTTGGTGTATGGTTGTAATGGGAGACTTCAACTACCCGGACATCTCATGGGAAGAGCACTTGGTCAAATCTGAATGGTCACGAAGCTTCCTCGTGTGGCGTGGACGAGCTCTACCTGACTCAAGAAGTCTATGGACCAACAAGAGGTAAAGTGCTACTGGACCTGGAACTGGCAAAAGGGCATGATCTAGTCAGCGACCTATGAACTGAAGAAAAGCTGGGAGACACTGACCATGAGCTGATCACTTTTACTATCCATCGCAAAGCTGGCAAGTCAGTCGGCAATGCAGAAGTCCTCGACTTTATAGAAAGGGTGACTTTGACAAGCTCAGGAGGCTTGTTGATGAGGACATAAGGGACCATGACTTGACAGGGAGGGGAGTCCAAGATGAGCGATTGCTCCTTAAGGGGACAGTCTTGAGGGCACAAGGGATGTCCATCCCATCTTGGAGGAAAGGTAGCAAAAGGGCACAGCAACCCCCTTGGCTCATCAGGGATCTTGTGGACCTTTTACATCTAAAAAGAGAGGCTTATAAAGCATGGAAGATGGGAATCGCCACTAAGGAGGAGTGTTCTGCACTGGTCTGGACCTGTAGGGAATGAACTGGGAAAGCCAAGACTGCAACTGAACTCCAACTGGCTACACGTATCAAGGACAATAAAAAGTCCTTTTTCAGATATGTGGGAATCAGAAGAAAAGCAAGGCTAACATTGGACCCCTGCTATCTCAAATGGGACAACTGACAACCGACACCCAGGAAAAAGCCAACCTGCTTCATGGGTACTTTGCGTTGGTTTTTCACCAGCCCAAAGAGACTGCCCTGCCTAGCATGATGCGGGATGGCCAGGGTGAGGGTGAATTTATATCTAGGATTGTTGTAGACCTTGTAAAGGAACACCGTGAGAGGCTGGACACCTTCAAGTCAGCTGGTCCTAACAGCTTGCACCCCAGAGTACTTAAGAAGCTGTCAGGCATTATAGCCCAGCCACTGCCAGGGATATTTGAGAACTTGTGGTGCTCAGGTGAAGTACTTGAAGATTGGAAGAAGGCCAGTGTGGTGCCTATCTTCCAGAAAGGGAGGAAAGTAGATCTGGGAAACTACAGGCCAGTCAGCTTGACCTCAGTCCCTGGAAAGATTCTGGAAAAAATTATCTAAGTGACCATACTAGACAAGCTGGCTGATGGCAGCATCCTGCGTGACAGCCAGCACAGTTTTGTTGTGGGTAGGTCTTGCCTGACCAATATCATCTCCTTCTATGGCCAGGTGACATATCACCTGGACAAGGGAGACGAGATTGACGTCATATATCTGGACTTCAAAAAGCCTTTGATCTGGTGACCCATGATCTCCTCATAGAAAAATTGGCCAACTGTGGCCTTGGCTACATCACAGTCCAGTGGTTGGGGAATTGACTCCAAGGTTGGACCCAGAGAGTGGCAGTCAACAAAAGTGAATCATCATGGCGCTCCATGACCAGTGATGTGTCCCCCAAGGCCCCGTCCTTGGACCTGTTCTCTTTAGTGTCTTTATTAACACTGGTGTCAGAAGTGAGTGGACTGGCCCAGTTCACTGATGACACTAAACTTCGGAGTAGAGCTTCCACACCCAAGGAATAGGCTGTCGATCCAGGCTGACCTGGATAGACTTACTAAGTGGGTGGATATAAACCTAATGTCATTTAATACAGAAAAATGCAAGGTACTCCACTTCGGGGGACATACTTCTATATAGTCCGAACCCCCAAGGCCTGGAATAGACTCCCTCCACAGCTTGTACAAGCACCTACTCTGGACTGTTTCAAGAAACATTTGGACACTTATCCTTTGACCCTGGCTGATTTCCTGCCCCTGGGTAAGGGGACTGGACTTGATCTTCTGAGGTTCTTTCCAGGCCTAATGTCCATGAAATCTATCAAGTACTCTGGGCAGGTTCTTTTCCGCAGCTTACAAAATTTAGCTCAGTTTTCTGGGGCTCTTTAGGTATATACAAAAAGATGTGCATATACTATAAAATAATGGATACACATTACATACAGAGATCTAATGAACTGGAGGGAGTTAATGTACAATTTTATGGCTGCCTTAAAGGATTCTCTGCTGGACTTCTATTTTGATACTGAACATTAAATAAATACATAACTCTGACTCCCTTATTCTTTTTCCTCCTTAACCTGTTCCTTCTCTCTAGTTTTACTTACCTGTTGCTGTTTGTCATAGCTCTTCCTGTCATCCTTAATGTTGATTTTCCTTCAGTATGTATTCTCTGTGCCCTCTCATCTTCTATTTTCTCTGAGTATTCTTTCATTTCCTCAGGTCATTTTTTTGCTTTCTTTTACCCCTACTGACTTAGCTCAAGCTCTTACATTTACATACTTGGCACTGTTTCCCCGGATATACTGGGCTCTGTCACCTATCAACTCCAGAAGGAAGAGAAAGAGTTAATTCACTTTGACTGTTGAGTCTGTCATCTTTCTGCTGACAAAGCTAACAAATTTGCTATCTATGAATACTCTCCCAGGGGGATCAGCTGACACCTGAGGGATGATAACTTTTACTAGTTGTTGACCTGGGCTGGATTTGAAGGAGTTCTTTGGAGAAGAAACTCACTAAAGCCCATATCTAATTGCTTGAGCTATCCAGTTCTTTGAATGTTTCTGAAAGATAAGTTGCT